GTAAGTTCCTTGAGGCTAAGAGCCATTTTTCCATTTTGTCTTCTTACCCCCAGTGACTTGCACATAGTAGGCATTTAATAAATCTTTGTTGGATTGGATTGATTTTTCCATTACTCCCCTTCATCTATTTGCTGTTCCGTGTGCGCAACATTCCATCTCCTGTCTTTGCACAGGCTGCCCTAATGTGCCTGGAATGTCCTTCCTTGCGTCCACCTTTGGAACCCCTATCTTCCTTCAAGGCTCATCTCAAATGCTGCCTATTTCAAGGAGTCTTTCCTGAATCCTCAGTGAAAAAAAGTATTGTTAAAAGCATACTCTGAGCCAGGCATTGTGCTAAGCACTGGGGATACAGACACAAAAAAAGGGAGACAAGCCCCTGCCCTCAAGGTGCTTACATTCTAATGGGAAGACACAGTCAGATATAGGGGAATTAGAGAAAGAGTTTTGGTCTAGGGAATCTGTTAGAGAGTCAGATATCATGCCCTTTCAAGAAACAAGGATAGGATTGATTTGATTGTTGTATTATGAGAAAGAAGGAGAGGAATAGTGCTGCTGATAGTAGTGGTAGTAGTCAGTAGGGAGCCAGTGTGGGACGATGGGGAAGATGGCAGATGGTCTCCTGGAATAGAGAGTGGAATCGCTTTGTATCGCCTTTGTACATGTTCCACATTCATTTATTTCTAAATAGGTTGTGCCTCTCCCTAGTAGAATGAGGTCAGGGACTGCATCATTTTTGTTTTTGCATTCCTAGAGCTTAACAGAGCACCTGGCATGCAGTAAGTGTGCTTGATGATCGACTAAAAGAACCTATGTTTTCCATATGTTGGTACAAAGCCATCTACATTAAGGGGGAGGCTGAAAGTGAGAATGAACAAAGTGGGGTTGGATGACAATACAACGTGTCTCTTTTGGCATCTAATGTATAGGCTTTCTTCGAGGGATAAGTGTCTCCTCGGTTCTTAGTTTAGTACCTGCCACATAGGTGCTTACTCAATGCTTGGTGACTGACTTAGGTTCTTCCCAAAGCCCTCTGCTCAAAGATAGAAGCCAGTGAATGGAATTCTTACTGATGCAACAGAGAGACTAAAATCTTAGCATACCATTTAATAAAAACCATCCTTTGGATTCACATTAGCTGAGGTGGTTTTTCTTTAATTAAATGCAACACTTGGATACAAAAATGAAAATAAAAAGCATTTTGAGTTAACAGCCACCAAAAACCCTTCTAAAATGAGCATCTGAAACATGTTTCCCTGCAAAGCATGCCCACACAGGAGGCACCCCAAACCCCCTCATTCATTTGATATTGACTTTAGTTCTGTTTTTAATTACCTTAATAGCACTCGCTTGCATAACTAAAATATTAGAGTTCTCTGCGGATCTATTCTATGCATCCGAGGTTTATCATTTGACTATAAACTTTAACTCTTGGTTGGAAAACGGGCCACTGATGTTTCTTTATAAACCATATTTTTAAAAAACCATACAAAGGAGTTGATAACATATAATAAGATCCCAGATTTGGAGCTGGAAGGGACCTTAGAGGTCATTTTTTTAGATGGGGAAACTGAGGTTTATAGAGGTGAAGTAACTTGCCCAAAGTCACACAGCTAGTAAGATTCTAGGGCAGGATTCAAACTCAGGTCATCTTGACTCCAAGCCCAGCATGCTATCCATCATGCCCTCTAGCTGCTTCTAAATTTCATTCTTTTCAATTTGACAAGCAAAAGGACAGAGTGATGGCCTCCTACTACACAGCTGAATGAAGTTCTTCATTGACATCTGAAGGATCATGACTAAACAAAGTCAAGGCTCCATATACTTGAGCCAGTGATGGGCAGGACCCAGTGTCTACTGAGAGTATTTTCCTGAGGTTTCCTCTCTTGTTCTGACTCTTCAGAGATGTTAATTGGGCTCCAGGCATGTTAGTTGGGCCATTTCCAGTTTAGTTTACCTCGTCTAGCCTCAGTTTCTTTTTTTGTAAAATGAGGGGATTGGACGTGACCTCTAAGGTCCCTTCCAGCTCTAAATCTATGATCCTATAGAGGAGGGATTTTAGAACAAGCCCGGTTTCAGGTGAACAGGGGGATGTCACACCAAGCCTTTGTCTTTTCATTTGAGTTTGACAGATTAAATTGCCTTTCCCAAGAAACGTGAGAGCATGGCGGGTCGAAGACAGCTTTGTCAACAGCCGGTGAGGTAACAAGAGACTCTGTCTCCACATGGCGGTCATTGCCCCACTGCTTCCACATTCTCCCTGTGTTCTCTGCCTTCTTAACCATCCAGCTCTATAGGAGAGCTGGGAAGGATTGGCACTATTATGATTTAAAATGAGTCACTGTCATTTCTAGGTCAATTAATGGTGATGTCATTGCCAGGAGAATGTGAGGAAGGCCTCCTGCATGTTGGGGGTATACCCTGTGGAGAACTGGCACCGTGGATAGGACATTGGACTAGAAGTAAAAAAAAAAAGAAGAAAAAAGACCTGGGTTCAAATACTGCCTTAGATACATTTTTTTAGTGTTTTTTTCTTTTTTTTTAAGTGTTTTTTTTTCTTTTTTAGGCAATTGGGGTTAAGTGACTTGCCCAGGGTCACACAGCTAGTAAGTGTCAAGTGTTTGGTCTGAGACTGAATTTGAACTCAGGTCCTCCTGACTTCAGGGCAGGTGCTCTATCCACTGCGCCACCTAGCTGCCCCTTGTGACAAAAATGAGAATATCCTTAATGGAGCCTTAGATACTTATAAGCTCTGTGTCACTGTTGAGTAGCAAGTCAATTAACCTTCCTAGTCCTCAGTTTCCTCATATGTAAAATGAACAGATTGGATTTGATAGCTTTCCATCTCCAAATTGATCATCCTGACATGGACACGAGTTGCACCAGATGGTCAGTCATGGATTGGTGATGAATTGGCATCATTAGGCAACTTCTGAATCAATGAGATCTCAGATCCATTGAAGTGCCTGAGTGCTGAACTATTGATTCACCAAAAATCCCTCCTTTCAAGCCTCCTGTTTCACCTTTCCCTTCATGCTTACATAGGATAGGGATCCATACAATAAGATGCCCAGTTCTCTGAAGGATTTCATTCTTGCAAGAATGAATAAAGGAAGCAAGTACAAAATTACAACCTTTTGGGTTTCATAAAGAAGCTTTTTTTGATTCTATCTTCCTTAGGGAAGAAGGATGAGAATAGAGTTCCAACAGTTTCACTTAGAAAATTTCTGGCTTTTAGAAATACAGGTAAAAGGGGAGTTTCTACCACAAACGAGTATATACATTCATACATGCACACACATATATAACATATATATATATGTATAATGCAAGATAGATGTGACTCCCCCATTCAAACCCAGAATTTTGCTGAAAACTCCCAGCATTCCATGGTGAGTTCACCTACATCTGCCTGGCTTAGTGACTAAATTGATTTGGTCATCTTCTTAATCGGTACAATTCTTGGTATAGGGATTGGTCCTGATTGGAATGAAAACTTTCATATAAAATTGGTGGGCTGGTACCTGTTCATATACTGTATCTTTTAACACCAAGGAGAAAGAGGAAGGGAACAGACATTTATTAAGCACCTGTTGTGTGCCAGGTATTGTGCACATATATATTTTACAAATATTTTCTTATTTGCTCCAACAAAGCAAGGGTGAAAGAGAAGTACACTTGGTTCTATGGGAACCACTGGAAGAGGAGACAAAAGAGAAGAGAATGATTTTTCTTTTTTTTTTCCCCATGTAATAGCATTTTGTTTTTTTCCAATTCCATGTAAAAATAATTTTCAACATTCACTTTTATAAGATTTTGAATTCCAAATTTTGTTCTCCTTCCTCTTCTCCCTTCCTTCCCCCACTACCAAGATGGAGAGCAATCAGATATAGGCTATACATGTACCATTATATTAATCATATTTCCACATTAGTCATGTTATGAAAGTGGAATCACAATAAAAGGGAAAAACCACGAGAAAAAAAAACAAAACAAAAGAGCAAATAGCATGCTTTGATCTGCATTCAGACTCCATAGTTCTTTGTCTAGATGTGGACAGCGTTTTCCATCGTGAGTCTTTTGGAATTGTCTTAGATCCTTGTATTGCGCGGAAGAGCTAAGTCTATCAAAGTTGATCATCGCACAATATTGCTGTTACTCTGTACAACGTAGAGAATGATTTTTGTAGACTGAGAAACTGATAGAAAAAAATGGCTGTGATGGAAAACCCAGACCTCTCAACATATATCATTGCTTCTTTAGCTTGATCTTCTGTATCACACAAGTAAATTCCAAGATGCTCCAGCCATGAATCCCAGCATTCTTATATAATCTTCCCATAGTTCTTAGCCATTTTTTCATTTGAAGTTTTGTCAGTTACTAGCTTCAAAACTCTAAAAACAGTCCCATGCAAAGAAGCTGATGAATCCCGATCTCAGGCAACTTTCATTGCCTTAGTCATTGTTCTGCCTTCAAAATAGGGCTAAATATATTCATCTGAGGGTTAATTCTCTGTGGGGTCCTTGGAATAATGTGTCTTACTCCACATTTTATTTGAGAGATTGTTTGTTCACAAGTGGATTTTATCAGTTTTCCTTACACAAATATTCTTTATCTGCCCCCTTCAACAACCAAACTGTGGACACATGATTGCAGGACCAAACACTTAGGATTACTAATGTAGGACTGGAAGTGGTTTCAGAGGTCACCTCCTCCAACCCCATTGTGTTGAAGATGAGGAAACTGAGCCCTCAGGAGGTAATGTGACTTGTACAAGGTCACAAAGGTGGTGAGCATCAGAGGTGGCATTTGAACCCTGGTCCTCTGTCTCTGAAGGCAGTATCGTTTCCATTGTACCAATACCCTCCATACCCTTTATTGCATGGTTAATACAGATGAATATTAACATTTGTGTTAATACATGATATCGTTCCCCAAAGGCAATGGATAAGTAAAATTGACAGAAGGTCTTTATGCAGATATTTAGTTATTTAATTTCTCACCTCTATAAAACCTTCTTCATCTCTCCTATCTTTCATTGATCCTAGAAATTCCAATGGCTGGTAAAGTGCCTCTGGGGGGGAAAAAAGAGAATGCCTCCATTAGTTTGGTTATAATACATTTTCCACACAGGCTCTAATTTTTAAACCCATTGGTTTCTTCTCATCACTAACTTTTCCCTGTAACTTTTATTATTTTTTAAAATTAATTTATTTTTCTTTTGGTAAGACAATCAGGGTTAAGTGACTTGCCCAGGGTCACACAGCTAGTAAGTGTCAAGTGTCTGAGGTCAAATTTGAACTCAGGCTCTCCTGACTCTAAGGCCAGAGCTCTATCCATTGGGCAACCTAGCTGCCCCTTCCCTGTAACTTTTAGATGGTACTTACTGAAAATATAGCCATTGGACCTGGAAGCAAAGACACAAATAAAAGACAAGTTGGGTTTTTTTTGTTTGTTTGTTTTAACCAGACCTCCACTTTTATGAGTTTAGGGAGTTCCCAGTGAGAAACTTCTACCAAGGAAAACCCAACACCTCTTTGCAACTTAGAGTCTTAGAAAGTTTTCCTGGGTCTGAGAGGTTCCCTGAGCTCAGGCAGCCAATATAGATCAGACCTAGAACTCAGGTCTTTCTGTCTTTTTTTATTCACTATATCATACTGCATTTTCAGGAACACATAACAGAAAGTTAATGATTTATTAGGTTGTTTTTTTTAACATGACTAAATAAGACTCAATTCATCACCAAAAACATTTATTATCTGGGAGCAGAGCTCTGTGCCATGTACTAGATGGGATATAAAGTTTGAATAAGACAGTGAGTGCCCCTATCCTCATGGAGCTTACAATCTAATGGGAAAGATGGCACATACATAAATACTGTAGTAGGTGGGAAAGATGCATGAGAGAAGTACAAGCAAAATGTTATGAAAAGTCTGTGAGGAGAGGCTTACTGCAGGATGTGGCAATTGATTTGGGGTCAAATGGATGGGTAGGAATTTAACAGGTGGAGATGGAGGACCATGTGAAACTATACCCATTTTTCAAGTCTTAGCCCAAATGTGACCTCCTCCATATGGGGCCTTTCTCTTTCTATATCTCTTTATCCTATGAAAAGTTTAATGGAAAAATCATCCTGTATCTTAGAATCAGTGGGTAAAACAGAAATTGAAAGAATCCCCTGATCACCTTCTGAAAGAGATCCCAGAATGAAAATTCCCAGAAATATTATAGCCAAATTCTAAAGATCCTGGGTCAAGGAAAAAATACTTACAGCAGCCAGAAAGAGATCATTCAAATACCATAGAGCCATAGTCAGGATCACACAAGATTTAGCAGCTACCACATTAAAAAAGAAGAAGACTTTTGGAATATAATATTTTGAAAGGCAGAGAAGCTGGGATTACAAACAAGAATAACATACTCAGCAAAAGTGAGTGTAATCCTTCAGGGGAAAAAATGGGAATTTAATGAAATAGTGGACTTTCAAGCATTCCAAGATGAAAAAACTAGAGCTAAATAGAAAATCTGACATTCAAACAGATGACTCATCAGAAGCATAAAAAAGTAAACTGAAAGAGAAACCATAAGGGATTTAATAAGTGTAAATTGTTTACACTCCTATATGGGAAGATGATCCATGTAAATCCTTAAGAACTTTATCATTATTAGGGCAGTTAGAATGAGTCTCCATAGACAGAATGCACAGGTGTGAGCTGATTATGTTGGAATGATTCAAAGCAAAAATGAAGGGGTGAGAAAGAGGGATGCACTAGGAGAGGGGAGAAAGGAAAGGAAGGAGAGAGGAAATTATCTCCCATAAAACAGGCATGCAAGGAAGAGCTTTTACAGTGGAGGGGAAAATGAGTGGGGAGGGCAGTCAATGGGTTCAAAAATGGAAAAATATATACACACGCTTAGTTGGGTATAGAAATCTACCTTACCAAACAAGGAAGTAGGAGGAAAGGGAATGAAAGAAAGAGTGTGGGTGATAAAAGGGAAGGTGGATTAAGGGAGGCAGTGGTCAGAAGCAAAAGAGGGTGGGGAGGGAGGGGGAGAGAGAGACAGAGAGAGAGAGAGAGAGAGAGAGAGAGAGAGAGAGAGAAACCAGAAAAGAGGATGAAAGGAAATACAGTGAGTAATCATAACAATGAATGTGAATGGAATGAACTCACTCATAAAACAGAAGTGGATAGCAAAATGGATTAGAAACGAGAATCCATCAATACATTGTTTACAAGAAACACACTTGAAACAGAAAGACACACACAAATTTAAAATAAGGGACTGGATCAGCATTTGCTATGCTTCAGGTAAAGTAAAAAAGGCAAGGGCAACAATCATGATCTCAGGCAAAGCAAAAGAAAAAACAGACCTAATTAAAAGAGATAGACATGAATTACATAGACATATGACAATGAATTACTGTCAATACTAAATATATGTGCACCAAATGACATAGCATCCAAATTATTTTTTTCTTTTTCAAAATTTATTATTTATTTTTAACATTCTTTTCTTTCTAAATTTTGAGTTCCAGATTCTCTCCCTCCTATCTCTTCCCTACCCATTGAGAAGGCAAGCAATTTGTTATCAATTATACACATAAAATCATGTAAAACATTTCCATATTAGCCATATCACAAAAAAGTGGCAAGAAAAATAAAGTGAAAAAAGTATGCTTCAGTCTGCACTCAGAGTTCATCAGATCTCTCTTTGGAAGTGGATAGCATTTTTTGTCAGGAGTTCTTTAGAACTGTCTTGGATCATTGTCTTGATCACATTAGTTAAGTCTTTTACAATTCATCATCATTATAATATTACTGGGCATAATGTTCTCCTGGTTTTGCTCACTTCACTTTGCATCAGTTCATATAAATCTTCCCAAGTTTTTCTGAAATCATCCTGCTCATCATTTCTTACAGTATTCCATCACAACCACATACTACCACTTATTTGGCCATGATGGAGAATTTCCATCTTCAATTTCCAATTCTTTGCCACCACAAAAAGAATTAGTATTTTTGTACATGTAGGTCCTTTCCCCTTGTCTTTGATCTCTTTGGGATACAGACCTAGTGGTGGTATTGATGGGTCAAAGGGTATGCAATAGTTTTCTAGCCTTTTGGTTCCAAATTGCTCCCCAGAATGTTTGAACTCCACAACTCCACCAATAGTGCATTAGTGTCCCTATTTTTTCACATCCTTTCTGGCATTTGTCACTTTTTTTTCTGTCATGTTAGCCATTCTGACAAGTATGCAGTAGTATCTCAGAACTGTTTTAATTATGCATTTCTCAATCAAGTGATTTAGAGCACTTTTTATGTGACTTTTGATAGTTTTGATTTCTTCTTCTGAAAACTGCCTGTTCATGTTTTTTCAACATTTCTCAATTGGTCAATGGCTCTTATTTTTATAAATTTGGTTCATTTCCCTATATATTTGAGAAATAAGGCCTTTATAAGAGAAACTTGCCATAAAATTTGTTTCTCACTTTCCTACTTGCCTTCTAATTTTGGCTGCATTGGTTTTGTTTTTGAGAAAAAAAACCACCTTTAATTTCATGTTATCAAAATTATCCATTTTACTTCCCATGAGTTTCTCTATCTCTTGGTTGGTCATAAACTCTTCCCTTATTCATAGATCTGACAGGTACATTTTTCCATGCTCTGCTACTTTATTTATGATATCACCCTTTATAATAAATTATTTTTAGAAAAAGAAAAAACCTCATCATCTTTTTCACATAGCAGATAGAATCAATCAACTATTAAGTGCCAGACACTGTACTGGGAGCTGGGAATAAAAAGACAAACATGAATCAGTGCCTGCCCTCAAAAGGAGCTCACATGCACATATTTAGTATGTACAAAACACATTCAAATCAGATACAAGATAACCTTGGCAGGGGAGCCATCAACAGCTGGGGTGACCAGGAAAGATTTCACTCATGCAGAAAAGAACTTGATCTGAGTCTTATAAGAAACTAGGCATCACAAGATTCACAAGAGAGGAGGGAGTATATTCTTGGCACAGAGGACAGTCACTGCAAAGAAGGTAGACTGAATATGGTGAGAGGAACAGCAAAGAAGATCAGTTTGGCTGTTCCATAAAGTACATGGAATGGAGTAATTGAAACAGATGATTCTGCACATCAATGATTTCTTTTGGCTACAAAGGAAGGACAGGGCCAGATTATGATGAGCTTTAAATAGCAAACAGAGGAGTTTGTATTTAGAAATTTAGAAATTTAGGAAGTCACTGGACTTTATTGGGTGGAGGGTAAGGGCTACATTGTCAGGGATACATTTTAGGAAAATCACTTTGGTGGCTAAGTAAAGAATAGATTGGAGTGTGGAGAAACTTGAAGCAGGAAGACCAATTAGGAAGCCATTGCAATAGTCCAGGCAAGAGGCACCAAGGACTTGAACTAAGCTGGTAGCCATATGAGTGCAGAGAAAATAGAAATGACAAGATTTGGTCATTAACTAGATACGTGGGGTGAGTGAGAGCAAAAAGACCAGGTGAGGACTAGATACGAAAATTTGGGAGTCATTTGCATAAAGATGAAAATTGAACCCATGGGGGTTGCTGAGATCACCACAAGGCAGTTTAGAAAGCCAGAAGAAGGTAGCCCAGGACAGAGCCTAGGGATAAATCCACCCATAAGGGACACAATAGAGATACTGGTCCTTCCAAGAGAAATAAGAAGGCATGGCTAAACAGCTGTACAAGAATCATGAGAGAGCAGTATCATAGAAAGACCAGGGAGGAAAAGATATCCAGGAGGAAGGGTTGGCCAACGGTATCAAAAACTACAGAGAAGTCAAGAAGAATGAAAACTGAAGAAAAGCTCATCAGATTTGGCAACTAAAAGATCATTTTTCATCTTGAACAGAGCAGTTTTACCCAAGTATTTCAGTCAGAAGCCATATCTACCATCAGCAGATAGTGAAATAGAAACCCCTCAGGGCTGTCCTTCCATGTACACTCTGATCTTAAGTAACTACATGCTCATAGACAGTGGGAATGAAGTAATGTTAAGAAGAGAATGTGCAATGATTAAAGGCAGACAAT